AACCAAACATGACTTAAACAGTCTAGGCAGTCAGAGCGAAAAATGGCAAGTGACTTTCAATTCAGACAACCGCGGTATAGCCCACCTTGGACGCTGAAAACCGGGAATGTACCTATATATGTATGGTAGTCTCTCAAAATTGAACAGTTACAGATCTCGGGATAACATACTCAGATTCAACCTTTTCTGACCATGCAAATAAGGTTGTATCTGATTGCAAACGACTTACTGGCTTTGTGCTGCATAACTTTTGCACTCAAGAAGCAAGGTTAGCTATATATAAGACATGTGATCGCACCAAAATCCAATATTATATTAATGTATATTTTCATATAAACATATAAATTTACATAAAAATGTATGCTATTTTTACAGGCACGATCAAGTATGATATAATGTCAAATCTTAAATTGTCTACAAGTTAATAATTTTTCAACAGCTTAATATTTGGTATATATATAAATACACTCATTGTCTGAACCAGGCCGTATAGTTATTGAATTGTACAGTTGTTCTCCAGGTTGAGCGGGAAAACCGACTTCACCTCGTTTTCAACCCGGGTAGCCTGTTGACGGCCGCAGGTCATTTTTGATCAGCTGATGGATATTGGCGTTATTTTTGGAAAAGACGTCAAAGTTAGGTCATTTTTCGTTGTTACACACACTATTTTACATATATTCCTTCTAAAGGTTGATGAAATACGGCGTATTTAGCAAAAATAGGCAATGGTGGTGTCCTTATCCGGCCTAGCTTACAGGTGGTTTGCAGTTTGTTGGAAAAACATACTTTTCCGTTCAGAATATGTCGAATTACTTGAAGACACATGTTATGACGACCATTTCGTGAAATTTTTGCATTTTAATGGATTACACATGGACATGATGAGGTGGGATAGCTCGTTTTGGTAATTATTTCATTTAATTTGTTATCTACTTTGCCTAAATGCTGACAAGGCTCCTCCACATGTATTTCTTTAATAAAAATCTGCAGAAATACTTAGAAATTATATACGCATAGTATTTCCTTATTTTATGACATAAACTTGACGTTTGCAGGCAGATGCAATATCGATTTTGTATTATTGAAAAATGTTTACTGACGTAATTATATACAATTCAACTAATTATTTCGTCATTTCAAACATATTTCATGGTTAATTATTGTGTTTACACTGATAACAATGTCTACATCTGTATAATTCTTATGTTCTTTTTCAGATAATATCTACTTTCGAGAATTTTATGGATTTGGGTGATCAGGAAAAAGATACATGCACCGTTGTCGACTTTGTATTACATGTTAATTCATTAATAAATGTATTCCTCGTTATGCGTTTGTTTATTCTACTTGATAAGACTGAATATTAGCCCTTGCGTAATTTGTGAGGTATAGAGTATATGAGGCTATCCTTGAAATACTAAGTAGGAGCAGATATTCGGAGAAGCCTATTGGTAAAAGACTATGTTGTAGTCAAATAAAGTAAATATGCCTAAATCGTAGAGGAGGTATTGCGATTATAAAGCGTTTCGAGTTATCTATCGTCTTAGCAGAATACATATACTGATTCGCGATTCATGGTCACGAAGTGAGAGTAAATCTACCTGAGATAGTTTGCTTGTGATTTCTGCATGTCGCAGTGTACCATAAGGAGAGACTATACCTATGCTTTTAGATGTATAACTCAATGCAACTACGGTTATCGTAATAATTAAAAACAGAATGCCTAGGGCTCTCAGCCAAAGAACACGATACGTTGCTATCTGCTCATATAATCACGTAAACAAAAGTCTTCCAGACGCCGCATTTACTCCTAACAGTTTACCCTCAACTTCTAACTTAGCACGTGCTACTTATGTTACTGGAACACAATCGCATTACAACAGAAGGAAGACAGATTCATTAAAAAATTGTTTATTAAACAAAAATCAGATTTCAAATGTACAGACAATTCAGCTGAGTAGTCCTATTTTACCGTCAGAAAGTTCCATTTGCGTACACGGCACATATATGTTTTTCCATAAGTCTGAATAGGTTTAAGAAAAGCATAATTAACTTGGGTATTACATGATAAGCATTTACAAGTAATCACTTTACAAACAATACATATATACAAGTAGCCCAATAGTTTTCACCAAACTTAAGGGACTTCGCAACTTGTCGTTTGTCGATATCTAGTAGGTCCATCGAAGCATCATGAAATGATAAAATTATTTAACAAGTTATGCAGTAGTTTTCAAAGTTTGTACAAATATTTTAGCAAAAATGACAACCACTTTATGAAAAATAATAGGTATTGATAGCAATAATAATAACATTCATATTCATAGTGACCATAAAAAAATAAAAGACATTATTATCGCAACCAATTCAACATTAACTTAGAAAATTAACAATAACAAAATTATATCAAATAAATTAATCACTTAATATTAACAAGCATGTTGTCAATGTAGATGAAGATTGAACGATCAATTCATGGTTGTTTGCTCAAAACCAACTTCCCCAATTTTCGCGGAGGCATCAATACGACAGTCATCGTCTCATCGGTCGCTGTTCAGAAAGAAGTCAGGACAAAACCGTCAGAAGTAATATTGTGATTTATTATTGTAATATTTGTTCACAGACCTTAGTCATACGTGATTTATATGTTGGTGTAACAATAAAGAATCCTCGAGTCAACAATTGGTGTTTTGGTTTTCGCGTCCGTTATTACTAAGCGTTTCTGAGAAGCTTCGAGGAACAGAGTGAGGCTCAGCGTAGCAAGAGCTGGGCATTAACGGTTTACGAGACTTGGCTGACAGTGGCTGACGGAGAAGTCAGTTTTCGAAGTGTTTGGACCGTTGGTAACAGATTGGATAGTTACCGTTCATCTTTCCTGGTGCCGGTCATGTCCTCTTTGAACAAGCAATATCTGGAACTTTTATGGAATTGGGTCAAGTTCAACAATGCCTGGGTCAAAGAAGGGACAGAGTGTCTTGGATGCAAACAGGAAAGTAAGTCATGGTGACTTGTCTGTTACTTGTAACGATGTGTCTGATGTTAATCATCACATGGTTGATGTTACTGTTTCGCCGTTCAGGGATAATAGGAACATCAAACTCCCTGAATTTGAACCACGGTGTTTCGATGGAAACCCGGCTGATTATTTACAATTTGTAAAGGAGTTTGAGATCATGTCAAGTAGTTTTTTATTAAATGATGAATTGAAATTGATGTATTTGATGGGGTATTGCACTGGAGATGCTTCAAGAGCTATACAGTGCTGTAAGCTCATGCCCCCTAATGAGGGATACGCTGAGGCTATGAGCATATTACGTCAAAGGTTTGGAAGACCTTCAATGATTGTAAGGAACGTATGCGAAGCTGTCAAAGGTAACGGCAGTCAACTTCAAGATGACTCCAAGGCACTTACTGAGTTTTTAGATAATCTTATGACTTATAAGAATACCTTGATTTCTATGAATTGCACGAGTGACCTCAACTCGAGTTTTATACTAGAAGTAATACCAAGACGCCTACCTACTCGAGTGAAAAGGAAGTGGGTAAAAATAAGCCCTCGTATAGAGGATGAGGGTATCCAGACAAGGTTTGAGGGAATCATCAGACTGGTGAAGGACAGTGTCAGCCACGTTTCGTAGGCCCTTAATGCCCAGCTCTTGCTACGCTGAGCCTCACTCTGTTCCTCGAAGCTTCTCAGAAACGCTTAGTAATAACGGACGCGAAAACCAAAACACCAATTGTTGACTCGAGGATTCTTTATTGTTACACCAACATATAAATCACGTATGACTAAGGTCTGTGAACAAATATTACAATAATAAATCACAATATTACTTCTGACGGTTTTGTCCTGACTTCTTTCTGAACAGCGACCGATGGGACGATGACTGTCGTATTGATGCCTCCACGAAAAATTGGGGAAGTTGGTTTTGAGCAAACAACCATGAATCGATCGTTCGATCTTCAACTACATTGACACTCCCTGGCAAAAAACAGATCCATCCCTTTTTTCCATCACGACCAATACACGTTGACTTGGATGCCATTGCGAGAGCCTGGGTCACACGGACAGAGCTGAAATGGAAAACAAACAGAAAAGCCAACACACCACAAGCATACTCACAGCACAATATCACACATCAATGACGACCTGCGCCTTCTAGTTAGAGGCATCCACTTGACATCTTGCAACACGATCGCCACCTGCTAGAATGACTCTTGCAGAATGCAACGTGACCATAGCAGCACCTCACGATACTCTTCGCACATCCTCTTATCTACTCACTACCAATTACCACTGCAATCGCTTGTCACTCATTCTGCCTCAATTCTAGTAACGATGACGTATGCAAGCCCCAGTCGTTTACACTCTTTCTCCCCGGCGTGTGGGACCACAGCTAACAATTATCTCCGTGTGCATTTCATTCTCAGCAATAGCCTAGCCTCCCCGGCGTATACGACCCATCTGCTGTCCTTAACATCAGTCAATTCATTCACGGATGTAGAAGAGTGGACACAACTTCAGAAGTAATCACGACGAAAATTTTAACAAAATTATGCAATAACAACAAGGTACGAAAACAACGAGTAAACAAAATGAATCCAAAAACACCAATTGATATGACACAACACACATATATACAAACAGTACACACAAAATCGCGGATCACATCTTGATGGAATTCCTTTGAAGAATCGCTGGACTTACACCAGTACGCCTACAACCCTTCTCAGGTTGACGATTGTAGGTTGAAGAATGTCCGGACACAAACAAGACTAACCAAGAGTTACAATAATTGGAACTCATACAACTATTTAGCACAAACATGTGTACAATCAATACATCAAATGTTGTGTATTCTGCCATGACAAACTACCCTTGAAGAACTGTAGGACTTACAGCAGTACGCCTACATTCCTTCTCAGGTTGATGGTGCAAGTGGAAGTCGTCCGGACACAAACATAATTACCAACAGATAGATGACAGATGATATCAATTCAGTATATACAATATGAACATATGTACAAAATCACACACCAAGCACATTGGACTGCTCATTGATGCGCTACCCTTTGAAGAATTGTAGGACTTACAGCAGTACGCCTACAACCCCTCTCAGGTTGACGCTCTAGGTTGGAAAATCTTCAAGTGTTTCATCCTCCGACTCTCGACTCTCAGCACCTTCCAGTAGACACAGTTTTCTGATATCTCGCACCAACATGCCACAACTTGTTCTCACCTCAACCGTCCTCACCAATCCATCACCACTACAAAGTAGCCTTACTACCACTCCCAAAGGCCACCTACCTGTGGCACATTTATCTGCTACTAATACTATGTCACCAACCTTTAAGTTTCGGCACAACTTTTTCCACTTGTCTCTGGTTTGCAGTGTTAGAACATACTCCTTTAACCATCTTTTCCAAAATATATCTTTCATGTGCCTGGCTTGTTTCCATCTTTTAATCGTAGGTATTCCTTCCCCGCTTGAGTCCTCTATGCCAGGGTTGCCTCTCAATAACAATAATTTATTTGGGGTTAACACATCAAAATCCTTGACGTCGTCCCTCACAGGTGATAACGGCCGGTCATTTAATATTCGTTCAGCTTCACAAAGAAATGTCTCCAGCGTTTCGTCATTCAAACTCTGGTTTTTAATTATGGAGCTTAAAATACGCTTGATAATTCCTATAAGTCTTTCCCATAGCCCACCTCTATGGCTGGCATGTGGTGGGTTGAAGTGCCACTCGATGTTCCTTTTCAGTAACTCTTCCTGAACTCTCGTTTGGGGACCTTCGAAGTACTCTTTAAGCTCGGCGTGACAGCCAACAAAATTAGTCCCTCTGTCGCTGAACATCATCTTCGGTACACCCCGGCGATTTATAAATCTATGTAATGCTAGCACGAATGAATCAGTAGTTAGCGTATGAACCATCTCAATATGCACAGCTCTCATTTTCAAACAGGTGAATAAACAGCCATATCTTTTACATAGGGTTCTGCCTCTCTTCACAACAAAAGGTCCGAACAAATCCACTCCAACGTACTCAAATGGATAATTCCCTTCAGAAGCTTGCCACGCTGGGAGTGGTGCCATCATCTGCTGTACTGGACGAGCATTTCGGAGTTTACATTCCATGCACTTATCAATTATTTTACGGACAGCAGTACCTCCCTTCACTATCCAGAACTTACATCGAATACTTGATAGTACTTGCGAAGTACCCAAATGACCTTCAAGAACATGGTAGTGTCTTATAATGAGATCAGTGACTGGATGGTAGCAAGGTAATAAAGCCGGATGACGGGTCTCATATGACGATTCTAACATTTGTAGACGTCCACCAACTCTAGCGATCCCTTCGGAAACTATCGGAGATAATCTATCTAACCGCACCTTGAAATCTGCGAAATCGGGACTATCCTCCTTGGCAATCTCACCCCACGCTTCCCACTGAGCAGCCCTCAAAATCGTTAACTCTGCATTTTAATATCTTCGACTCTCAAAGGTCCCACATTCATATTTTCGTATCCCGCAAGATGCATGACCTTTAAATACGTAACATATCGTGTCAACCACGCAACAGCTTTCAGTAGTTTGTACCAAGAAGAATAATATTTAAAAAGTGGATGTAAACCTGAATGTCTTTCTTGAGTAGATGTTAAACTGACACTTGTCTTCAACTCCAAGGCACACTCGTTTATCGGTGGTTCATCTTCTCTACGAGGCCACATACTATCAGCCCTTAGCAAGAACTCTGGACCTTTCCACCACTTATTTTTAACCACATTCATATCAATAACTCCTCGCGAGGCTAGATCAGCTGGATTTTTTCCAGACGGTACGTACCTCCACTGCTCAACAGTTGTTAGTTCACGAATTTGAGATACTCTGTTAGCTACAAAACATGCATATCTTGCTGACTCGTTGCGTATATAATATATCACAGACATCGAATCAGTCCAAAACGTTACGGGATGCTTGGGGTAATCCAACTCTTTACACACCGTTGTGAATAACTGCGCAGCTAGTAAGGCTGCATTAAGTTCTAATCTCGGAATCGAAACCGTCTTTAGAGGTGCAACTCTAGATTTACCCATCACCAGGCTAACATCTATATCATTAGACACGTTACTTTGCAATGTCAGATGTTTACTATATATAAGACTTTCATGAAAATTTTGTACACTAAGTCCTGCCAACCGACCTTACCTTCAGTCCATACTACCTAAATTGAACCTTAACTATAGTGTTCTGCTAAATCTTGCTCCACCATTCACAAAACCTATTCGTTTCACTCTTTAAGGTTTTAACTTCTTATAAAGTAATCTGTTCATCAGGATGCATGCACACATATATAATATGTTCGTAAAGATGTACGTGGAGACCTATTGGAAGCACTCATTAAGAAAGCGAGGGAGATGGAATATGGGGTACGAACATGTCTGGTACCAAGCAATATATTTGCGGTAGCCATAATAATCATAGTCTCAGAGCCTAACATCAAAAAAGGAGGGAGGGTGGTGCTAGCTGATCAGTAGATATGATGGTGGTCACCATGGTGAATCGCCCCATTCTGCAGGAACAGCAATACGCAATTTGAAGGCTCGAGATATTTCTGATTTTTATGAGGGCTTAGATTTCTATCTTGAAAGAGATAATAGTGAACACCTTGACAGATCATGCTTCTACCTTTAAACATATACCATTCGCTCAGCCTATTGTTGAGATGCGACCACGTGGGCTCTGCACAGATTTATGGGGCATCTTATAAATTAACTTGCTATCCATTGTCAGATCTTTAAGTACCACTTCACAATATCTTGTCTCACTTATTTTCTAATAACGTCTTTACTTGATCCTCATTATATTGCATTAAACCTAACATTTTATAGCTCTTTATGGATTTGATTCGACTTATTCTATTCCTATTCTCTGGAGGGTACGGTTGTGCACCAAATAGACAAAAAGGCATGAAATATAAACAACTGGCTTGAAAATAATTGTATTAAAGCCAAAAGTGGACATCATGATAGTATAAAATATATTGGTTTTATTATACATTGCAAATGAACGTTGTCGGCCTAAGGATTAATTGCTTTCCCATTCTGTTTTCTATATAAATGTGTTTATTAATGATATATTTCACTCACTTAATCTATTACACTTTAATGTTTCACCTAAGCACTTTAACTTTTCTAAAACAGCTTTCAATCCCTTGTAAACGTTGTACTTACCTCAATATTGGTTGGTTATCGTATGCCTACAACCACGGGATGAAAACGAAACCAAGTCGGTTTTCCCGCTCAACCTGGAGGACAACTGTACAATTCAATAACTATACGGCCTGGTTCAGACAATGAGTGTAATTATATATATGTATCAAATATTAAACTGTTGAAACATTATTAACTTGTAGAAAATTTAAGATTTGACATTATATCATCCTTGATCGTGCCTGTAAAAATGGCATGCATTTTCATGTAAATTTATGTTTATATGAAAATAAATTATTATTATTATTCCTCGAAGTGGTTCTGATGTATACGGCTGCACCAAATCCAACCTCAGAGGCATCAGAAAAAACATGGAAGTCAATTATATCATGATTTCTCGACGGCTTAAGTGGACGTGAGACGGAATGTAGATTCAGCATTCTTAAACTGTTAACCCACCCCTTCCACTCTTCTCTCTGCCTCTCACTTAATGGTTCATCCCACTGTAACCCTTTCCTGCATGTCTCTTGAAATAACCTCCTAGCCGGAAGTAGATAAGGTGCTACTAATCCAAGTGGGTCAAACACGGACGACAACACAGAGAGCACACCTCTCCGAGTAACTGGCCTATCAATATCACCAACACTAAATCCAAAGGTATCAGAGTTCACATCCCATCGCATACCTAATGTGCGTTCAACTGGTAGAGTATCAACAGGCAAATCTCGTACGGTAGGTGCTCTGTCTTCTGGATCTATATGCTTCAAAACGTCTAGGCTGATCGAGACCCACTTAGTTAGACGAAAGCCGGCCTTAGCTAACACCACAGTAATGCTAGTTGCAAATCTAACTGCAGACTTATCATCATCGAAGGAGGCTAAACAATCATCCACGTAGAAGCAACAATCGATTACACCCAGCAGATCATTAAAAAAATGTGGACACTGCATTTCGTAGAGCAAAATTAGCACAAAACGGGGAGAACGTGTGTCAATGTATATGAAGATTGAACGATCAATTCATGGTTGCTTGCTCAAATCCAACTTCCCCAATTTTTCGTGGAGGCATCAATACGACAGTCATCGTCTCATCGGTCGCTGTTCAGAAAGAAGTCAGGACAAAACCGTCAGAAGTAATATTGTGATTTTTATTGTAATATTTGTTCATAGACCTTAGTTGTAAAGCTTAGTTTTAAAGTTGGCTATATGTTGGTGTTACAATAAAGAATTCTCGAGTCGCCAATCGGTGTTTTGGTTTTCGCGTCCGTTATTACTAAGCGTTTCTGAGAAGCTTCGAGGAACAGAGTGAGGCTCAGCGTAGCAGGAGCTGGGCATAAACGGTTTACGAGTTGTGGTTGAGAACGTGGCACCAAATGGATGTACTCTCATCCTATATTCTGACATCTGACCACAGGGACCATCATCAAACCACAAAAACCTCAAGTGATCTCTGTCATTCTCTGGCACCTTCACCTGTAGGAACATTTCCTCAATATCCGCAGCGACAGCAACTGTAAACTTTCTGAATCTTAATAGCAGTCCCACTAATGAGCTCACGCAATCTGGGCCACTATACAGATTATCATTTAAAGAGACTCCTTCATGTTTCGCAGAACAATCAAACACCACACGGAGTTTAACTGGCTTCCTCGGGTTAAAGACGGGATGATGGGGCAAATACCACTTCCCTGGCTCACTCTGATCAACTAGTCTTTCAACGTAACCCTTCATTATACGTTTATCGACGACTTCCTTATATTTGGACCAGAGTTCTGCATCTGACAGAAATTTCTTCTGTAAACCCATTAGTCTCTTAAGCGCAACTTTCCTATTACAAACCAACTGTCTATCTTTGAATCTCCATGGTAGGCCAACGCTGAAACGCCCGTTTTCGTATTTACAAGACTCCTCGGCTATTTTAACTGCTTTTAAGTCTTCTACAGAACGACCCTTCCCTGGGACACCGCAGTCACAAAACTCCTTGTCATACATATTTTTAATCATAGTTTCTAGTTTGTCCCCATCGTTTGCAGCTAATGATGATGTGTGGACTATGGGTATAGGTCCTCTCACTGTCCATCCCAGTGGTGTTTTCGTCGCAAACAGATCATCTCTACCTCCAAATCTCTCTTCTAATACCTTGTGAGCTTCTGGCACACTACATCCAATGAGTACTCTCACTCTTCCATCTTGCAGTGTTGGAAGCGGTATGTCACACAGGTATGGCTTACCGACAACCGTTTCACGACTAGGTACTATAGCTTCGCCAAGTTTCATACTGGAGGTAGTGTAAGCAGTATCCACTTCCACGGTCTCCCCAGTAGCCAAGGATTCTAACTGAAATGACACTCGTTCACACACTACTGTTTTCGCAGAATTGAAAGTATTTACAACCAAGGGTTGCTTTGGGCCTTTAATACCCAAGCAACCAGCCAGTTCAGCATCTATCAATGTAACGTCTGAACCATTATCCAATAATGCATAAGTATCTACTGAAGATTTCGTTCCTTTCACCTTAACTGGTAATACCCCTAAGAAAACTTGTGGGGTGTCAAGGGGTCTAGAGATACTATTACAATTTACCGAATTCCCCTGTGCGTTTGCTATCCTCAGAAGTGGGTGCATATCCGCTAAACCACTACTTCCTTTGTTTGTCGCCTTACAATTCCAGTTTGTATGCCCAATATTTAAACAACTGAAACACAGCCGCTTCTGCTTTACCATTTTTAACCTTTCTACGGGTGACATAGCGATAAAGCGATTACAATCACTCAATTGATGCATGTTATGGCAAACAATACACTCATCCTTTCTCGTTGTGTCTTGAGACATCAGCACAAATGCCTTCCTTATATTCAGTGGTTCCTTAGGTTCTACCTTAGAATGCAAAATGCTAGCGAATTTGCCCATCGCCTGGTTGACAATGTATGTCAGTGCAGTTGAAGATTGAACGATCAATTCATGGTTGTTTGCTCATAACCAACTTCCCCAATTTTCGCGGAGGCATCAATACGACAGTCATCGTCTCATCGGTCGCTGTTCAGAAAGAAGTCAGGACAAAACCGTCAGAAGTAATATTGTGATTTATTATTGTAATATTTGTTCACAGACCTTAGTCATACGTGATTTATATGTTGGTGTAACAATAAAAAATCCTCGAGTCAACAATTGGTGTTTTGGTTTTCGCGTCCGTTATTACTAAGCGTTTCTGAGAAGCTTCGAGGAACAGAGTGAGGCTCAGCGTAGCAAGAGCTGGGCATTAACGGTTTACGAGACTTGGCTGACAGTGGCTGACGGAGAAGTCAGTTTTCGAAGTGTTTGGACCGTTGGTAACAGATTGGATAGTTACCGTTCATCTTTCCTGGTGCCGGTCATGTCCTCTTTGAACAAGCAATATCTGGAACTTTTATGGAATTGGGTCAAGTTCAACAATGCCTGGGTCAAAGAAGGGACAGAGTGTCTTGGATGCAAACAGGAAAGTAAGTCATGGTGACTTGTCTGTTAATTGTAACGATGTGTCTGATGTTAAGCATGACATGGTTGATGTTACTGTTTCGCCGTTCAGGAATAATAGGAACATCAAACTCCCTGAATTTGAACCACGGTGTTTCGATGGAAACCCGGCTGATTATTTACAATTTGTAAAGGAGTTTGAGATCATGTCAAGTAGTTTTTTATTAAATGATGAATTGAAATTGATGTATTTGATGGGGTATTGCACTGGAGATGCTTCAAGAGCTATACAGTGCTGTAAGCTCATGCCCCCTAATGAGGGATACGCTGAGGCTATGAGCATATTACGTCAAAGGTTTGGAAGACCTTCAATGATTGTAAGGAACGTATGCGAAGCTGTCAAAGGTAACGGCAGTCAACTTCAAGATGACTCCAAGGCACTTACTGAGTTTTTAGATAATCTTATGACTTATAAGAATACCTTGATTTCTATGAATTGCATGAGTGACCTCAACTCGAGTTTTATACTAGAAGTAATTCCAAGACGCCTACCTACTCGAGTGCAAAGGAAGTGGGTAAAAATAAGCCCTCGTATAGAGGATGAGGGTATCGAGACAAGGTTTGAGAGAATCTTAGACTGGTGAAGGACAGTGTCAACCAGGCGATGGGCAAATTCGCTAGCATTTTGCATTCTAAGGTAGAACCTAAGGAACCAGTGAATATAAGGAAGGCATTTGTGCTGATGTCTCAAGACACAACGAGAAAGGATGAGTGTATTGTTTGCCATAACATGCATCAATTGAGTGATTGTAATCGCTTTATCGCTATGTCACCCGTAGAAAGGTTAAAAATGGTAAAGCAGAAGCGGCTGTGTTTCAGTTGTTTAAATATTGGGCATACAAAGTGGAATTGTAAGGCGACAAACAAAGGAAGTAGTGGTTTAGCGGATATGCACCCACT